AACTTCTTGACTGTTTGCGATCGCCCAGTTTCGATGCAGGCGGGAGGACAGTGACGACAACGAGGATTGCCGCGACGAGGGGTCAAGACGTTCAAAAGACTGAGCTTCTGAATGGCTAGGCGATGAGCTTCGAGCAATGGGAGACATGTCTTTTAGGGCGTCAGGTTGATTGACTTGGCCGGAAGCACATGTAGTGCTGATTGCCAGGCTTGGGACGCCATGGGCATCGTCGTCTCCACCAACCAGTCTATCGATCGACCTCGCGCGGCTATGTTCTTTTGGGGGCTTCAACTTGTCTCTGCTTCTCATGCTGTTGACCACACGCCGTGGCAGACCACCAAATAGACCACCCAACTGTGAGCCACCAGGTGTGTCTAGAGCCGTTGGGGTACCAGGTAGAGCTGGAGGAAATCCTGGAGATGCGGTTCGACCGGGAACCAGATCCGCTTGACGAATGGTGCTTATGGAAGAGATGGCTCGGTCTTGCATTGGCGGTCGCTGTTGGCTCTCCAGCATCTGGGCGGGTGATGCAGTACGGGAGTTGGGACTGTCAAAGTACCTTGACCGTTCTCTCGCCTCCGGACTCGCTGTAACACTGTGAGAGAGCGGATGCTCAGCTTCACGCGAGCGAGTCAGAATCTCTAGGATAGCACCGGGTGCTAGACTGCCACGTCGGCCTTCGTAGGGCCGGGCGTCTTGACTGATAGTACTACTCGAAGAGTTTGCGCTGATGTTGGGGGGCGCGTCCTGGTTGGTAGCCGAGCTCTGCGCACGGCGCCTTGAACCTGAACTGCGAGTTGTGAAACCTTTGACGAACTCGGATGTCTTTTTAGCGGCTGAGCGGAGGCGGTCGACGAAACCAATAGGGACAACGGCCTCCTCGACATCCTCTTTGGAAATCTGAATCCTTCTTCCATCATAGGACTTGCTAGGGTCTGTCTCTTCTGCCCATGAGATGTGGTTGGGAATACCGGATAGCAGCCACGGGTGGCGCTTGATCTCTGGTATAGTGATGCGACGTCGCGCATCCTTGATCAGCAATCGTCGCAGTAGGTCACGTAAGTTTTCATCAACCTCTTCGTATTCGAGATCATGCGGTGCTCTCTTGGTGCTCGTCATTGGCTGACTGTTGCGTCCGTGTGAGTTGGGCCGCGAGTTTGATTGCTCAGCGACGGGTTTCAGCCGATACCTAGGGATGTAGGGCTCGTCTTCGCTGATGACCTTCATCAGCGTGAATGTGTTTGTGTCGTGAAAAGGCACGCGCCCGTAGATAAGGCAGTACAGCGTGACACCGAGAGCCCAGATATCGATCCCGCCGTCGATGAGGGGAGTCTCTGCGTCAATCTCTGTACGGCAGAGCTCGGGGGCGTAGAAGGCAGGGGTTCCCACAGTCTTCGCCAGCTCAATGGCTTCGTCAACCTCCTGGTAGTCCGACTCAGAGTGTTCGCCGTTGCTTTCATCAGTCTTTTGCCGTCCCAAGTACGACACACCAAAGTCAGATATCTTGATGCGATGCTCCCTGGTTACAAGAAGATTGGCAGGTTTGATGTCTCGATGGATGACGTTCTGATAGTGCAGGTATTCTATACCCAAGACAGTGTCCTTGAAGGCTTCCCAAGCTGCATGCATAGTCATCAGAGGGACGTAATTGAAGTGTTCAGGGATCTCTTCGCCAGAGTCGGTCACACGTGACGAGGAGCTGCCAGCAACGCTCGGTACGCGGCCTCGGATGAGCTCCGTGTCGTAAGGGCCGTACATGGTTCCCTCAAGCCCATCGGCCCAAGAGTTGTTTACCGGCTCAGGCGATCGGAAAGCGGTCTCCATGTGGTCTTCGTGGTGGCCTGCGACGTCTGATCGCTCGCGAAACTGGACGCGGCTGTGCGGACGCTCGTCTTCTAGATGGGATGCTTGCGAGCTACGTCCGTTGTCGGAGCCCTCGTCTTCAGAGTCGGTTGCAAACTCCAAGCTCCAGGGTTGGTTGGAGGAGCCGTCTTTCCGACGTAGGTGAGCCTCTCTGGCCATGCGACGTTGCTGGCGGGCAAGCTTCTGGTGGGCGATGCGGATGATCCTTTCGTCTTCTAACGTTGCACTGTCATTGTCGAAGATGCCCTGGGACTCGCGCTTGAAGCGACGCCATTCGACGAGGCAGATCTCCCTGGCACCCTCAGTCCGCCACTTGACCTCGCCCAGCTCGACGTGCTCGAGTACGATATAGACCTTCTTCTTAGCTGGGTCATCTATAACCTCGAGCAAGCTGACGATGTTGGGGTGGCGGGCCTTTTTGAGGATGGCTATCTCGCGCTTGATCTTGTCTTCGTGGCTGTTGTTCTTGCCGAGGCGGCGACGTTTGGAGTAGCGGTCGACGATCTTGATGGCGACGTAGCGGCCGTGCACCAGGTCCTTGCCCAGCTTGACCTTGCCGTGAACGCCTCGGCCAAGCTCGTCGATGATCTCGTACTGGTTCACAATCTTGCGTCCGGAGACGGGGTCGGCCTGGACATCGGCAATGTGGGTCTCCTTGGGCGCCTGGCGGTGGGTATGGTGGAGCCAGGGCGTGGAATAGGTACCGTCGTCGGGCTGGTCGGGCTCCTGAGAAGGGCGGCGGGTGGTGGGGTTGAAGAGGCCAGGGCTGCTCACCGGTGAGTTGCCAACAGTGCGTGGGGCCGACTCCATAATGTCCCTGTAGTGCTCGTGGGAGAGGCCGAAGGCGCCGAGGCTGGACAGCGAGTTGGCGGCCGAGTGCGAGGGGTGGGAGCTGCGGGAGCGGACGATGGGCGGGACATAGGGCTGGGGGTACTGCTGCAGGTGGAGGGCAGCATAGGACTGGTTGGGGTAGACGGGCCCATCGCGGTGGCGGGGAGGGAGGGCGTAGGGGTGAATGGGGTCGACTGAGTTGGCCCGCACCGTCACGTTGCTGGCCGTCGAAGCGCTCGAGAGGTCTCGCATGAAAGCCGGGCGGTCGGGGGCAGGTGCAGCGGCGGGCGCGGCCTCGTTGACGGTGGAGAGCGAGGCCTGCGAGGCGTGGGCGCTCGTGCTGGGCGAGGGGTTCGAAGACGCGGACGTGTCGCGGGGGATGGGCGACGAGTAGATTCGGAGGGGTTGTGGAGAGAAGTACGAGGGCTCCGGGTCGAGCGTGTGTATCTGCGATAAGAGGCTGGCGTTGAGGGCCTCTGGCACGGAAGGCACCTCGGAGCGGGGCGTGCAGTCGTTCTCGTCGTCCTGGCCTTGACTCGGCGGCGACGCGCCATGTTGCTGCTGCCCTTCTCTTTCTTCACCAAATGCCTCTGGTGCTTCTGGTGCTTCTGGTGCGTCCGCGGTCGGGGGGCACACAGACGACGCCGGCGACGAGTGCGCCTGGTCGTCCCGCACTTCCCCTTCCGCTGTCAGGCCCGCATTCGGGTCGACCATGGCAACCACAGCTCAGGACGTGTCAGCTCAGCAGAGGCGTGCAACCATGCCAGCCCGTCTACGGTTTGTCGAGGCGCACGTCGTGGGCGGATAGTCTCATGTCGCGCTGGGCTGGGCGGCGGTGGCGGTGTCACAGCGAGGGCAATGGCGTGGGTGCACTGGTGCTGTGAATCGACGTCGGGGTGAAGATGGTGGCAGTGGGCCGTGGTGGGCTCAACGGCTCGATATGGATTTGGTTGAGAGACACGATCGGCTCACTTGCGCTTTTCCCTCTGGGGCAGTGATGGGCGGGATAGTCAAGAGTATTTCGGGCCCCGTAGATGACGCTCTGAAGCGGGAGAGACACGCCGGGGCTCGCAGCAAAAGGTGGAGACGCTATGTATCGCGCTGGGCATAGGCGAAGACGCAGATAAAGGCCGTCAGGGCAAACAACGAGGCGCTGCACGGCAAGAGGGCAATGGCACCGGCGACCAGAGGCCTACAATGCGCCCGGTGGAGCGATTTCTTGTTGAGCGAGCCACGAGCGATATGGGCAACTTTTTGTCTTGGGGGATCTGCCACTCGACGGCAGCGAGAGTATCACCTACATGGTGCTAGCATGCAGGTGACAAGAACGGGTATGGCTGCATGCACTAGTCCCTCACTGGCGAGCCCGGCCCTTGCTCTGCCCTCAACAACAGGTGGCGTTCAGCTGTTCGAGGGTGTGGTTCGTTTGCAGCGCCCTCGTCCAAACTGCTCTGCGCAGCGCCATCAGCATGTGCCTGTGTCCTGATCCCAGCTATGTGCGCGCATGGGTCGCCTCTGCCGCCTCCGGTTGCGTCGGCACCCGTCACTTGGGCCCATGCAGCAGCCATTAGATGAGGAAGCGCGATAAGCACCCTGGAGAAACTCTAAATCCCTCCCTGCAACATCTGCCATCATAGCACATGGCGACTGACGGACCCTCTCTAGCACAAGCCCTTCCCCAGATTTACCCTCGCTGAGCGTCAGGTACTCGCTTTGCTTCTTCGTTCCCGCTTCGATATCGCCCCAGGGCTGCCATGTCCAATCTCACGCTATGGCTGCGTCACTGGCGCGCCCCGTATCGTCATTGTTGGGCCGGCACACACAGCCATCGTGCCACGAGCATCCAAGGGGGGGGCAAACCGACGGCTGGCAACAATCCCATCCAGCGTCCTCGCGCCCTGCTGCCTCCCCCTCGCCATGCCACGATGGCGCTCCAGACCGCCTGCAGTCACCGGTAGATTATCAATCGTGACCTATCGTGAGATTGACCGGCCTCGTACGTGCACAGTCGCACGGCGGTGCATGCTGCAGAGGGCCAGCGCAGATGAAGCCGAGTCTAGGCGCCGCCCGTCTCCTCAGCAATCATCGTGAAAGTCCTAATCCGGTAAGGCACGCAGCATCAATTTTCTGCACCGGGGCGCGCTTGAGCACGGATGCATGACAAACGTGACTGCCTGTGCAGCGCGCCAAGGAGCTAGACCACCGGCTTCGCATCCTCACCTCTGCTGCGAATCTCATCTCACTTTGCTCGCCAACCATTGCCCCGGCCTCCCGCCTGTGCTCGCTGTTTCTTGCTCTATTACCCAATGCCGACCCGCACCAACGCTGCGAGGGACACGAATCCGAGCGGGACTGGTGCTCCACCACGCGCTCCGTCCAACAGCTATCGTGACTCGACGCTAAACATCTTCGCTCTGCTGCTTGCCTTCCGCATCGTCAACGCACTAACCCTGCGCTCCTTTTTCCAGCCCGACGAGTTCTTCCAGTCCCTCGAACCTGCATGGCAGCTTGCGTTTGGCCCCGCCAGCAATGCCTGGATCACCTGGGTAAATCCACTTCAGAGTGCTCCAGTATCCCCAGTCCGCTCACCGTGGCCAGGAATGGAGATCCCAATTGCGGTCGTCCCTGCATCCAGCGCTATTCGCTGCCGTCTATCGAGTCGCGGCACATGTTGCTGACCTCTGTGGCTTGACCTTGCCTGCTAAAGCCGAACTACTCCTAGCTGCTCCGAAAGTTACCCAAGCCGTCTCTGCAGCCTTGCTTGATTGCTACACATGGAAACTTGCAGAAAAAGTCTACGGTCGTGGCAGTCGCACTGCCCTTACTACTGTACGCGACCATCCTGCAAATTTAGCACTGCAATCTCTGATATCTGAGCCCACCTACTTCTAGCTTGCATTGTCTGTCTGCAGCCCGTGGCAGTGGTTCTGCGCGACCCGAACACTATCCAACTGTCTTGAGACTACCATCACTTCTGTCGCTATTTACTATTGGCCTTGGCAGGGTGCAGCAACAGCTAGCAAGGGTCAGACGCATATTGCACACCACGACCTCGGCTCCCTCTCAGAGTAAGTCGTGGAATCAAAACACCCTTTGTCTGCTCCGCCACCACTTTAGGCTCATGCTCGTGCAGGTTGCGCCTGTCACTGCTGTTGGCAGCGCTTGCGTGTATTCTCCGGCCCACCAATGCACTCATATGGTTGTCCGTATCCGTCCCAGCTCTATGGCAAGCCTCACATCGGCTGCGCTATGTGTTGGTCCGTGAGATCCTGATTTGCGGGTAAGCCTTCCCTCTCCTTGCATCCGCTGCACGTTTTTCGTCACCATAGTGCAAGGCTCCATTACCGGGCTCTGCGTTCTCTGCAAACTACCGTGCCCCGAGGTCACCAGACCATAACCCGACTGACGATGCTAGCTCCGCCGTCCTGGTATTGTCAGTCGCGACCGATCGGCTCTATTACAGGGTCTGGACTCTTCCGCCGCTTAGATTTCTCTATTTCAACATCGCTCAGTCGTTAGCCGTATTCTACGGGAGGAACCGCGGCGACTACTATTTGACCGAAGGTTTGCCGTTGCTCCTCACGACATCGTTGCCATTTGCCGTTGTTGGCCTGTGGCAGTCGTTGAGGGGCTTAGAGCCATGTAGCCCAGCCAAAGGCGACAGCCCGGGTAATACAGCAGCTTCAGGTCAATATACTGCGGGCAGTCAGATACTAAGCCGTCTGTCATGGACGGTGATCGTCATGACTGCTACGCTGAGTTTGATATCGCACAAGGAAGTTCGCTTTCTGTACCCAATCCTACCCTTCCTTCACATCATCGCCGCCAGGCCACTCAGCAAGTTTTTACCTCCTCGCGCTGCGCTATCGCACAAAGCAGTCGTCCTGTTCTTGCTTGCTGTAAACATCCTACTTGCAGGCTATGCCTCTCAAGTTCACCAGCGTGGAGTCATCGATGTACTCGCCTATCTCCGCCATAAACATGAAACGCGCAACAGCCTATTATACGTTCATGGCAATAGCGATAGTAGCGTCGCTGCTGTGACCAATACAACAGTCGGCTTCCTCATGCCCTGCCACTCCACACCCTGGCGCTCCCACATCATCTACCCTGAAATCTCCGCATGGGCTTTGACGTGCGAGCCACCCATCGACATACCGCTCTCGCAGCGCTCAACCTATCTCGACGAGGCGGATGAGTTCTACATCAAACCTGGCCCTGTAGCTTGGCTTCGGGCTAACATGGAAGATATACAGACGATCAAGGCGAGTGGAAGTAGGTCTGGTCAGCATTGGATGCGCCAGGATCCAAAGTTTAAACGCAAGTACCGGCGTGAGTGGCCGCAAAACCTTGTTTTCTTTGAGCAGTTGGAAGGGACGCTAAAGGAGTATCTTGAGGGCACTAGGTACCAGGAGTGCTGGAGGGGTTTCAACAGCCACTTCCATGATGACTCGAGGAGGACTGGTGATGTGATTGTTTGGTGCTTGGATGGCGTGTGAGGCGCAGATTGCATTCTTGTATAATACTGTAGCAAAGTAACTCTCGTAGTGACATTATCTGTGAATCATCTAGATAATGTGATCTCCCATCAGTGCTCCTTTACATACCACGCAAGATGTCATCTCATCTGATCCTCGTCCTCAAAATACCCAGGTCAACTATCCAAGCCATCCAAGTGTCTTCGACTTATCCCTTCCTTCCCGCTGAGCCCAGAAGCCGCGTCGCGACGATTTCGTGACAACGAAACACGCCCAGTACCAAAACATCGAGCAGCAACTATCCCATCGCGAACCTGCGTAAACGGTCCAGAGACATTCTGAAACGCGAACTCTTCATCACGACATCCACACTCCATAGACGACACAGTCAACCATCCCGTCTAGCTCCCAACACAATGACCTCATCGACCCTGCAGATCCACAACCCACAACCCACAAACATTGCTCTGGATCCCAGCACACCGGACACGCGTCCCTGTACCTGACGATGACGATCTCTTGCCACAGAATCTAAATGTACATCTAAATCTAGAACACCATGATCGTCAGGGCAACGAAAACGGGGTCAGTCTGGACTTCAAAAGTTGAACTGGGTAAAGAAAGAAGCAATTTGATGATTAGTGTTGTTGCTAAGCGGGGACCCGAACCGGACCCTGACACTTGAGCGGAGGAAAGGGAAAAAGGAAGACCACTGGGCATATGCATCGTGTTTTTGGGACCGAGGGGAAGGCATTTGAGAAAAGTAAGGCTATAAGGGGAAACGCAGAGCATGTCATACAAATGAAAAAGGTGAACAGGTCTAAAGCCTACATCAACATGTAAACATCTAAAGTAGGTGATCTAACGTTGATGTAGGCTGCAGACCTATTCAGTTTCCTCCTGGTTGAGGTGAATGGGCGCGCAGGCTTCACGGTGGTAAAAAGATCGATGAGAAGTCTGGATTCAGTGACTGAAGCTCTCGTATGAGACGCACAGTATGAGACGTGTTGATTTTCTTGCAGTATAACATAGGGAATAGGTTCCTGGTAGACCGATGTTCTTTGTCGGCAGTTGCCCCCTCTTCCGATAACAACAGAAACCAGTAATGTTCAAAAGCAACAGACCAACCCAATGCACAATGAATGAAAACACATCTCGCTTGGAGAGAAAGAAGCCATGTTCTAGGCCCCAATTAAAAAAATTCAGAAAATCAACGCCATGATCCCAATGCCCGTTGTTGGTGGTAGGCTTATTGAGCCTGGAACGCCGCGCTGAAACCTCAACTGAGCCGGCAAGTGATCCGGCATGCACTATGCTCCCTTTCGAACGCCTAAGAATGCAATATGACCCAAGGAAAATATCAAGCCAAAGCGACTGCCTTTGCGCTGGTGCTTGAGCTGACTGAAGCCGGGGGTGTGGGTGGTGCAATATCGATCGCAGGCGCAACCCAGCCCTCCTTGCGAGCAATCCACATGACCAAATTGAGGTCAAAATTCTCGAAAAAGACCTCATCGAGGAAGCGAGCCTTTGCGCCGGCGTAGGTATGGTATTCCTCGCGAACTGTCTCTGGATCGACGCCGAGGATCCTCCGGAAGCAGGCGATGGTGCATCCTGTGCGGTGCTTGCCCTTGTTGCAGTGGACGAGGATCGGGTGGTTGGTACGGTCCATGATGAGGCGCAGAGCTCGTGACATTTCGCACGATTCGACGCGCACTTCGCCTTTGTTGGCTTTGACGTGAACGTGGAAGTGCTGTATACCGGCCTCCTTCATGAAGTTTTGATACTCGGGTGAGAGTGGCTCAGGAACCAGGGTGAGGATGGTCTTAATTCCGGCTTCCTTAAGGTATTCGTAGTTCTCCTCTTTTGGATAGCTGCTGCGATAGACGCACCCAGGGAGAACTGTGCCGTAGTTTGATGGAGGAGTAAGTGACTGTAGGCGTTCGGGTGCCGAGCGGATGGAGACGGCCGGTGTGAGGGTGCCGTAAGACTCGGCTGTGCAGGTGATGGAACACTGGTGACCCTGAGGGTCTACGACGACCTTTAGATCCTCGTGCGTGGTCTCGCCCGCGTGCTGAATGAGCCCATCGCTTGCAGAGAGACCGAGAGAGGCGACAAACTCCCTGATCCTTTCGAATACGCTCTCCTGAGCGTTCTGGTCCTGGCTAGGGGACATCGCGGAGTCTCCGTTTGACGAAGACATGTTGAAGCGCTGCGGAGCTTCGGGTTCGACTATGAAGGAGGGTATCAAAGGTATAGGTTTGAGCGCAGCTTGTGTTGTACTCGGACGATTTGTCCTATACCCTTCACAGCGCGGATTTTCGGATGCGGAGGTGCTTGGTGGTAGGCCTTGTCGAGTGCTCTTGTGTGCGTTGAGGGTTTGGAAGTCTGAGTTGGGAGGATGCTCGAAGACAAGAGACACGGGGGCAGAAGCCGACGCGGGCAGCCTATAGTCTATTAGCCAAATGCTCGTACGTTAGGAGGATAGCTCCGAAGTCGCGAGCTATGGGTCGTCGCCGCTGTCACCCACGGATCCGGCGGTCGAGTCGAGCGCGCGGCGAATGGAAGGCCACCCATTGAAAATGCGGCAGTTCACACAGTGCTGGTGACAGTGCAGCTTCCAAGGTCGCGTGAAAGAGTGAAACTTACTTCGCTGTTACCGGCTGGTTACAGGACACATCTTGCGAGCGTCTTGCGGTGATGCAAAGAGGCGTTGATGTTCATTGTGAGTGAGTGAGGTAGGTAGAGTGTACTGTGGGCGGAGTGGTGTGCGCAGTAGACGGATATTTGTGTGGTGATGGCTCGGGGCGGTAGCGAAGGATGTCAGCCGTAGTTCGCGGGGAGTGAGAAGTAGTGTATTATAATGAAGGCTGGTGTTGTGGAAGAAATCGGGCGGGTCGCCCTAGCGCGCCTTTCACTGGTCCGAGCCAGATGCGTCGGAATCAATCCGCTGGCTTGGACCGCCGGTTCCAGGGTCCGCCAAGCGCCGTACGTCACTTGCCGCACCTTCCCAACGGTACTTTGGCTATGCAGGAACGCAGAGCATATAATTCATCGACAGCAATCTGTGGGCTGTGTGCTAGTTCAGTCTTCTGGTACCAGCAAACAGCGCGCGGACCCCGCACCAATCTTGTCGTGCCTTGCCAAATGACGGCAAGCACAGAGCAAGCGCCAGTAGCACCTGGGCAGTGGGCAAGCTTCGCTAAATTCGCTTCTGTTCCAAGGCGAACCGCCCCGCTGCATGGCTCCGACCTGGGCGGCGCGTCTCAACACTGTCTCGCTCCCGTGCCTCAGCGACAGGTTTGATACCTTCCAGCGCCGTTGACCTCGTCATCGCTCCACTCGCAACCTACGGAGCGGTGGGTCTCTAGTGCTTGGGTGAACCACGAAGTGTTCGCCAGAACCGCGCGGAAGAATCGGCACAGAAGAGACGCCAATAACACAGTAAGCGCATCAAAGCATTACTGTAGACGGCAAATGCCAGTAGGCGAAGCTTATGGGCCGTGTTCCCAGAGCAAACCGACTATGCGAATACAACGATATCATACTTCGCCTTTGCCCAGCTTCTATGCCATCATCAAGGCAATATTCATAGCCGTTCATCCCGAGTTCTCCTGCTGCCCGAGTCTTGTGGCCGCTTCCTCATCATTGCAACCGCGTAGCCAGGGCCTGGACGCTCAGTGGAACTTGGCAGAAAGTATCTCGAAATCTCTATGACGACTCCGCGACATTCCGTAGACATTGGCTTATTCGAAGGGGTCAACTGCAGACCGCAGTCGGAGGTCGCGGCACGATTTCGTGAAATTTCTCTGAGTTGAATATTTCAAAGCTCCATCGCACCACTTTCACGTGAAGACTCTCATGATCGGCAGCTAACCATGAAAGGCTAAGCCTCATTTCCCCGGAGTCTGTGCGTCTGACATGCTGGACCTCGGTCACTCCACCAAATACAGTAAACATCGTGACGTTTCTCACATCCTCAGCGTATCCCAGGGGTCCCACGTTCTCCAAT